AAAAAAAAAAAAAAAAAAAAAATTAGTTGATGACTAAGCTTTCAGGGACATCACTAGATTCATCGAGATCATCAGGAACTTCTGTCGTTAGTTGCAATACAAAGTGGTCATCTATTTTGCTTCTATCCGTCCGGCCTACGGCCAAGTGCAGTAGGAGAGACGATAGAGTACAGAGCGATAGAAGAATACAGCCCATGACAACAATTTGCCAATCAGTTGAATGCGAATGCAGAAAAAGCATGCCGAAACAAGAAATCAAAGTGAGTGGTATTCTCAAGAAAGCGAGGAGAGCGTGACGATGCTCTGCAGGAAGCAGTTCCGCCTAAAATTAATTCGGCATTGTTTTTCAATGTCTTTATGACTAAAGGTAATCGATAATTAACTCAATTTACAGTATCCTGAACAAACATTCCTTGAAAATTGTAAAAAAAGTAGATATATTTTTGCGTGACAAGGTAAAGCGGAGAAGCTACAAGAAGGAGAAGCAAGAAAACTGTGATAAAATTTAATAGAAGTAAAAAAGTAATTAAGAGTAAGATTTTGAACATTGAAATTACCTGTAATTTGCTCATCGCTGGCAAATAGACACCCACAGCAAATTCAAATAAACAGCAGAGAATTAAAAGACGTTGATATAAAGACAGATTCCAATAAGTCACTTTTGCTGGTATTATCATGACAGTTAAACCCAAACTATTCAGCGCGATGAATGAAGAACCCAGCAGAGCTTGAGTAGGTGATATAAATTTATGAAACCGGCGAAAGGTAACGCTTCCCAGTAAAGCAAAGGCCATAAATGATGCGTAAATGCCACCATAACTATAAGGAAGAATCAAGGTTTACAAGTGTATATAACCCTCACTTGTACCAAACGGTAAAGTTATTATATTTTTTACAATTAAAGTAGTTCAAAAGTAAGGAGTATAATATGGAGATAGTTATGTATATGAAAAGCAGGCGAGCGGTCTTACCTTAGTCGCTCAATAAACAATGTTCTTGTATGGATAAATAACGGTGTCCAAACAAAAATGAAGATCAACATAGTAGACTCAAACAACGTATGAATGACGCAAAGAACTAGAACTGCGGGTTTACGCTGCAAAAGAAATTCAACTCTGGAATCTTGCGATAATCAAGTAAAATAAAAAATGTTCACATGTGACACCATTGCAATTTTTCAACTTCTGGAACCAATCGCGCAGGATGTTCAAATAAAATCCACTTAAAAAAACTATATAATTTCTAGCACTACTGATAGCCAAAAAAGCTAAAAGCTCCTATTCAGATGCTCTTCAAACAACAAACTAAACCCAATATTACAAATACTTGGGAACCAACTGCTGTTGCCTGTACCTTAAAATGGTAAGAAGCATGTTCAAATGATGAAATAATGGCTAAAACCTACGAAAAACTAAATAAGCAAAGACTTCGAGCCAAAACTAACTCGAACTCAAATGAAAACGAAAAAACCAATTTTTGAACCTTAAAAATTGAAAGGCTCCGAGTGAATTGCTGTTTCATACTCACGCGATGTTCCGGTTCCAACCTATTCTCAGGCCAAATTCTCATAATGTATAAGCCTCCTGGAACATAGAAAACCGTAAAAAATAAAAACAAAAAATTCTACCAAGAGAAAAGTCAAATTGTTCAATAAAAAGTCCTTCTTTAATTATAAATAAATAGGCTTCATTCTACTTTATTTTAGGCAGGCAGAATTAACATCACTAACACAAAATTACTGACCTGCAAGCTGAAAGACGATGGAAAAGAAGAAAGGAAATGCCGTAATCGAAGAAATAGATTCAGCAAATTCTGCGATCAATCCGGCTAATACTGAAAGAAAACCAGCGCTGGTAGACAATACCGCCACTGACGAAGCCATCCACTCTTTAGGAAAATCAAACGACAGGACATGTTCATGTCCATACCTAAAAAACTCTCTTGCACACTTATCTAATTTAAGGGTAACAACAAAACGCTTCGTACATAACAGCCAAGTATAAAGAAAAATTTCAGTGGTTAGTAAAAGATAACGAACCATTGTTGAAATGGTGTAATAATTAGTGCTGCTGAAAATCCGTCAAGAAGTCTACCAATGAGAAGGATTAAATAGTTGTCAGAAAACTTTAGTAGACAAGCAAGTGAACCTGTGCCCACACAGCATAAGCAGAGAACTTTTCGTCCATATTTGGAGAGAAGATGCACAGTGAAAATCGTACATATCACATTCATTATCAAACCAACTACATAAAGCACAGCTATCTGCGCAGGTAAAAACCCGTAGGCATAATATAATACGTATAAATATGGGCCCTAAAACGATAAACCACTAAAAATTAAAAAAAATCTCACAAATTCTCTTGTCAGTGCCTTCTTAACAAAAAGAAAAAAAAATGAAAACCTGTATTGACTCAGCTAACAAAATGGATAGGTATGGAGTCAAGAAGTGTCTCTGTAGACTTCTGAATTGCGCATTTCGTTGCGCAACATCCTTGGTATTCAAACCATATTTAAGTATTATGTATCCAGATAATGCTGTAGCTAATATGGTCCAAAAATATGCTAGCACATTGAGGCTGATCATCAACATTTCTGGGGCCTAAAAAAAAAATGAATAACAAATAGAAATATACAAATTTACCTCGTTGAAGGATTAGTAGGTAAAACGAAACGCAAGACGTGAATTGTAAAATGAACATATACTGATAAACCAAACGACAATTGCAAACTACACAACAGATCCCGAATCAAATGATTTCACTTTTGCTCACTAACCCTACTAGTATAATTAATCAAACTATTTTTTCTCGAAAAATGTGAAGAACTAACGAAAAAATTTGTTAACTATAAATCAACGTATAGTTAAACACACTAATAAGCTACATCAGACATTAAAACAGTTAAAAGTTTGTTTAAATTTTTAAAGTGTTTATAAAGCGCATAAGTAGCAGAAGAAGATGTCTCAAAATCTGTCGTCGTCGAAGAAAAACGGTTACAAAAGATTAAATGGTCAGATAAAATCAAACCGCCCATTACATCCTTTTCCAGGTTACAAAGAGCTCTTAAACGTCCTTTAGCGAGGCATTAAAGCAGAAGAAGACAAGAAACCTTCAAAATGTGCAAAATTAGAAGAAAAAATGAAGTAACAAAAAAAAGAAAAAAACACCAAACAAATTACGAGAAACCTTTGCAGAATACGGATGATAGTGACAGCAGCAGCAGCTGCAGTTGAGTGTGGCGATTCACCGTATAACATTGGTCACAACTCTAAACCTGCTTCAAATCCAACAATCGTATACTTCGCTGATTGGCACTTTTCCAGTGCCACTCTTCTTATATATTCATTTTTTCTGTTGCAGTTACCCTTTCGCTGTCAACACTACTGAACCGCTATCATAGCAGTTTATCAATTATGCAGCGCAATGGACAATTTGCTATTCTACCCATATTTGTTCTGGACAGAGTCGATCAAATAAAACTTTCAACTGGTTTTAGCTTCTAAAAGCAGTTACAAATTGTTGACTGCTTCTGTTCAAGCTGTCTAAAGTTACAGCCAAAAAAGTGCCCAATCTGAAGTCCACGCTGTATGTGTTGATTTCATCCAAACAGCCAACAGATCGTTTTCTATGGATAAAACTGTCTACAATCTGTGGTTCTTGCAACAAAAAAGTGGCGCTCCTATTTACGGCATTTACAGAACCGAATGTTGGTACTTAAGTGCTACTTCTGAGCTGCTTTTAGAAGTTGAAGTTATTCATGATTTTATGACTCGGCACCTGTTGAAACGCTGCCATTTAAGCCGCCGAAGAATACCCCAGAATTTTCAAGTTGTTCAAAAATTGAAGTTAACGGAACTTTAGTACCGTCTGTCAAAAATCCGTTGTCTGGCTTATTCATTAGTACTATTATTACCGTTATGATCATTGGTGTTTTCATTAGTATCATTGGGTTTTGTTTGGAAATAGTCATTTAGACACCTACTTTTGCCATAAACTTTGAAACATTTTTAGTCGTTTTTTCTTCGGAAAAAACATAGAAAAAGAAGATAAAATACTTTATTCAAAAAGGAAATGAACAGAACCCGAGTGAGCGATGGTAAAGGAAAACAAAATTTCTTTGTTTGCTGTCGCTGTTGTTTTTTTGGTTTACTTTTGCTGATGCAACGCTATGATATGAACTATTTTATACTTTTCAAGACTGCACACTAGTGGACAGATAGATATTTACTTAGATAATGCATTGTAATGCCTGTATTGACAATGCGGAATTTTTACAGCTGATGGATAGGTGTGCACACAGTATATTCGTGGCGAAAATTCAGATAAAAAAACTTTCCCAACACTTTCTGGAAGACATTCTAGTAAAAAGTTTAAATAAAAAAATTAAGAAAAAAAATAAAACGAAACCTCTAAAATAGAAAGATATTATCTGCAGACACCACTTAAAAAATGCTGAAAACGTTTAAGTTGTCATTCATCTGATTAGTGTGACGTCTTGAAATATTGTTGATCAGTGTTCTTGAAAGAAATGTTGCGGTTTGCATGATCATTACAAAAATAGATCAGTTTGGTACTAAGAGTTACAAAAGTCACCCAAATTATTACACCACCTCTGGCTCTGGCATTCAATTCAAGGGACCTACCTAGTTTTGGTAGTTAAGTAGTCAAGATATGAAGTAAGAAAACAAAACGTTGAAGTTCAGGCAAAAAGTAATATAGGAAAGTTGGTGGTGAAATGAGAAGTGTATTACTGTCTTCTCAATTTTGCAAAGAAACTAAACGAGAACTGTGGCAGCGTTCCATGGCTTCCATTTAGCCTGTTCTATACAGACTTTAAAAAACATTGGCTTTTTCTTTAGCGGCTGATTTAAGAAATTTTAGCGTCTATGAGGACTTTTGACCGAATCATAAACGTGTAATGCAACCAAATTCAGTTACTTTTCAAAACTAAAATGCGAAATGACTAAATGTTTTTGATAGAAATCATTCGGAATCCTATCTTTCGTTCTCTTTTTTTTTTTCTGCTAAAGAAAAGTTGTTTCCGATTTTTTCTTATTGATTGAGTACTGTCCTTATTAGTGTTCTTTGTCCAACTTTTAAATTATATTTGCGTCAAATATCGTTTGGATAATATCGTGATTTATTTGCAGGATGCAGAGAAGCCTGAAATCAGTTCTCTTTGGATTCGCACGATTTGCTTCACAAAATGCGGCAGCTTCGTCTAGCAAGCCCTCCCTACAGTGGGATATTTGTGTATCTGTTGCTTTGTGTCGAAACCCGGTAATAGCACCGCCTATGAGTCCCATAGAAAAAGAATTTTCAGACATAACAGCTGAAATGGAATTCGAGGATTCTCTGTTGTCTGATTTTGAACTTCGTGAAATACAAGATCAGAAGTATGCTTTTGGTTCTTTTTCTGTGTGTAGCTCAACACTTCTCATAGGTACTGGTTGTTTTTTGTATGCGCTTCGAAATATTCAAAGTAATATAATTAAGCATGACTAGTTTTTTCAATATGAAAATGAGATATACTTACTTACCACAAAAACTATGGTCTTTTGTTCCCTTAGACTGCTGGCTAAACGTGCTGAATTAGAGGCTCAAGGAAGGGATTTGAGTCAATTGGATGAAAAGATTGCGGTTAGTGCTACCGTTCTAAAAGAAGATTGGGCGAGAGAAGGGAAGGAGCTTTGGGAAACTCACAGACTTGGAGATTTGAGTCTTGTACGGCTTTTATCTTTGTTAATCACTTTGTTGTTGCCGTTATCATATTAATATACCTTGCTAGAGTGAAAAATACCATTTTTTTTTTCAAATTCTACCGCTGTAGATTAGTATGCTACAATGTTAAAGGGATTTCAGTGATTTCAGGTAGAAAAGGATTCTGAGAAATCTCTTTGGAGGAAACTTGACAGGCAACTAGTTCTACTAGTTAGGCAAACATTTCAGCGGAAAGACGGTTATGTTTCTCCATGGACTCTACCACAAACTATCCACAAAAATGGTGAAACTTTAAGACAAGTAGGTGTGGACTGGTATTCCTAAAACTTCCTTGCAGTTTTGGTTTTTGGAGGTTCTAGACGTCCAAATGATTGGAATTTCAGGCTGCGGAACGTTGCCTTAGCGAAATTACTGTCGGTGACTTAAAGGCTCGGACGTTAAGTAATGCACCTTTTTCTGTTTTCAAATGTTTGTATCCAAAAGGTTTACAGCGGGTAGACAACCAAGGGACAAGAGGAGAGAAAGTAAGAGATTTTTATTGCTTCGCATTTTTTACGCATATGAACGCTTGAAATGTCATTGAGATTTGGCTGACTTGCGAGTGGAAACCTGTAGAGGTTATGTTGCTTGAGCAAACCGATTTTAGTAGAGACTATGTACTTTGTATTGGACTATGTACTTTTTGCTGTTTTTGTACATGACGAAGATGTTTCACTTGCTGTTAAAATGGTGTATCTAGTTTTTTTTTGGATTTCTACGTTTTTCCAAAGGTCTCGTTGCCGTCTTTCATACGTGCTAAATTTTCCAGATTTTCTTCTATAATAGCGAAATATTACAACGAACAGAAATTGAGGTTAATAACGAGGAGATTGTCGAATATAAATGGGTTACAGCTGAAGAGTTTGCTAAAACGGTTACAAGCCGAAGGTACAGGAAAGCTCTATCGACGCTGTTCATCGAGTAATTGATTATTGATATTTTTTGGCCACGCGGTCTTACTGAGTATAAATTAGTGGGTTAGTGGCTTAGTACCTGGGCTTTTGTTAAAATTATTGATCACGTGTTTTGTTTCAGTTGCCTTACAGTATTTTATTAAAGTAAATTTATTGTTGAGGTACAAAAGGAATAGTTCATTTAAGTTTGTTATATATATT